CTCTAGTTGACCAGCTGTGTCAGTACACTAGTTGACCAGCTGTGTCAGTACACAAGTTGACCAGCTGTGTCAGTACACTAGTTGGTCAGCTGTGACAGTACTCTAGTTGACCAGCTGTGTCAGTACTCTAGTTGACCAGCTGTGTCAGTACTCTAGTGGACCAGCTGTGTCAGTAAACTAGTTGACCAGCTGTTTCAGTCCTCTAGTTGACTAGCTGTGTCAGTACTCTAGTGGACCAGCTGTGTCAGTACATTAGTTGACCAGCTGTGTTAGTACTCTAGTTGACCATCTGTGTCAGTACACTAGTTTACCAGCTGTGTCAGTACGCTAGTTGGTCAGCTGTGTCAGTACACTAGTCGACCAGCTGTGCCAGTACTCTAGTTGCCCAGCTGTGTCAGTACTCTAGTTGACCAGCTGTGTCAGTACTCTAGATGACCAGCTGTGTCAGTCCTTTAGTTGACCAGCTGTGTCAGTACACTAGTTGACCAGCTGTGTCAGTACACTAGGTGACCAGCTGTGTCAGTACTCTAGTTGGTTACTACCAAATCATCCAAAAAACAAGGGGACCAGTTTAGCATGTCTTTATAGTAGCAACTCTTTATTCTAATTGACTACATAAAATGTTCTTGATGCATTTGATTTCTATTTAAAAATCACTTAATTATAAATCACATTTCAGTTTCACAGTCAATTGAATAAATTTCAATGAGACATTCACTAAATGGATTATTAACAATGTTGCTGATGTGTTAACATAATGATCAGATTTAAACCAAAAATCAAATAAAAGTTGAAGAAAAAACAATTCAAAAATAAATGGAAATCAAACAATTGAACAAAAAACTCCACTCTGAACATTGAACACTTAAACTTTTAATATGACTGTACCTTGAATACCCACTGCTGGATAAGTCTTCATGATGGGATGACCTCTGATGACCTTGTGATGACCTTTGGTGACACTGTGACCTCTAATGACAATATGAAAACCTTATGCTGCCCTTGGGATAACCTTGCACCAATTTGTCAAGCTATGACCCTGTAGTGACCTTAGAATGATATGTGATGACCTCATGGAAACTGCAGGGTGACCTTGGAATGATTGTTGTCTCTATAGTGACGTGATGACCTTGGAATGATTGTTGTCTCTATAGTGACGTGATGACCTTGGAATGATTGTTGTCTCTATAGTGACATGATGACCTTGGAATAATTGTTGTCTCTATAGTGACATGATGACCTTGGAATGATTGTTGTCTCTATAGTGACGTGATGACCTTGGAATGATTTTTGTCTCTATAGTGACATGATGACCATGGAATGATTTTTGTCTCTATAGTGACGTGATGACCTTGGAATAATTTTGGTCTCTATAGTGATGTGATGACCTGCAACATCATTGGTCAGTTGCTGTCTTGTGTCCCCATTTCTGAAAAAAAATGCAGAATTTATCAAAAATTATGATTTCAAACAAAAAGTTAATATTTTGTTTTAATGTTTGTATGAAGTGATTGAGAGTCAACAACTCTCTCCTAGCAAGGACGCCAGAGTTCTGGGGAGTTTCTTCCCAACAAGATAGTATCTAACGACACTGTACAGATAGGTAGACTAAAGTAAACATGGTAAAACGCCATAAAAGCATGGACACTAGCAAACTGCTAGCAGCAATGTTGATATTACTACCTCCCAATCAGCAGGCCATCAAACCACTGACAATATGCCATGCTGCCCCTTGACCATCAACAGAACACATATTTAAAAAGATCAAAAGATTACCCCAAAAAACGTTCTCTACATCCTAACAATCCGTCTATGAAGACAATATGTCCGACAGATCTGTTCAGGTTTCAACACTTTGGCAATGTTCACGAACAGCTTTTAATTCCCATTGAGAACAGAACAATAAACAATGAAGAAGTTCTGTTGAGCAGGGGTGTCAGATTATCAAGGAGCATGAAAAGCTGATTTCACTTGATGAATAAGATTGTTATGTATTCATCTTTGAGAAATATTACCGAAAAATTTTACAGGAAAACATGCTGCATATGACAGCCTGTCTGGTGCTCCCTACCTTTGATAGGAAATAGTAGAATCGGTGAAAGGGGAGATAAGTCATTCTGATTCGGGAAGAATTAATTATTTTCATTTTTTTTGTCAGCTTCAGTTAATTCTCATGTGATTTCTGGAATTCATGACCAGGATATATCATCAACTCCATAATCCTGACATCTACTTCAAACAAAAAGTGTACAGCCCAATTTGAGGAAGACAGATCCTTGCCTTGGGTATAAATATGAAGATATATGTAGGAGTGACAGGGGCTCCTTGTAACTGTGAAGCTGTCGGACTCATGTATAATCCATGTGTAGATTGTGATCAAGTGTAATGGCTGGGCCTAATACAAATAATGGCCATTTTCCTGGCAGGGCACTAGCCTGCTGGAACCCAGAACCAAGTGACAGACCCTACCACTTACAATAACCGGTAAAGCCTGTCAGCCAACAACATTACACTTTGTTAATGCATAGTGTAGCAAAATCACGTTTTGGCTAAAGTTCATGATAAAAATTGTTACATATTTTTGGCAACATTTCATATCTGAAATTACTTTTTTCTGTGAAAACGTGGTTCTGAAAACAGTTGATAGTCTATTTTACTTCATCTTTTTATATACACATTTTTTTCAAATTATGATCCGTTTTTTTCAATTCTCTTATTACCTAGTAAGGTTACTGAAGATTTTGAAAATTACAAATTAGTAACTTTAGAACTGATTTTATAACTTACTAATCATAGTGAAGACATCTAGTTAAATTTTTACATTTCAAGTGCGTTTCCTTGTATTTATTCCCTTGACCTTGAAATTGACCATAACCTTCATCCCATGTGACCTGTCAGCATTTGATAGCTCTTAATTCAAGCACCCCTAAAATCTCATAATGAACTATTCCAACCTTTGAATTTGAAGAGTTCAAATGTGTCTTCAGGGATAATTGAGTTAAATGACACCAATTCCTCTCAATCAAATTAAAATGCCCCTCCTCATTTTTTATTTAAAATTTAAATGTTTGTTCATATAGCGTGACCTCTGTGTAATTTGACCTTCACCTCTTGTTACCGTGACATCTAAATAAAGAAATATACTGACCTTTACCAATATAGATCAGATTTGAATTTATGAAAATCTCAAAAGTGCAAACAGCATGAAAACATGGCATACCACAATTACAATAAATAAAAACTTAATTTAATTTTAATGTTAACTGGAAAACAGACAGATGTCGCCACAAAAATCCTGGGTTGAGCAGATGATATGAAAAAACGGAATCTAGGTCATCTCTCTTACTAATGTTTCCAATTTATTGTATGCAAAGATTTCTTCAAGACCAAGCATAATCTCTTAACTCAATTTTTCAATAAACAGGTAAAGAAGAGAACGCCTTAATTTTTTTACAGATCTATAAAGAGAGAAAATGTAAAACAGATTTTTTGAAATATCTATCAGATTTCATACCTTTTGATATCAGGGCAAGCATTGTAATTAGAGTTAATTAGTGAAATGTTTCATTATACAATCAACACAACAGAAATTGCTAACACTACACAAAATGGATTTGGTTTCTTTAATAATTTGTTTTATTTTGTTTGAATCTAAGACAAACAATATGTCTCACTATTTAATTAAGACCTTTACAAACACATTTTTTTTTTTTTATATGAGATGCATCTCTATGCTCTGTGAAATGTTTATCTATGAAGATTTTCATTTTATATAAGTTTTTATCCTATCTTTTGTTGAGGTTTTCATTTCCTATTGGTATATATTCCATTACGGGAGTATGACAGCAAGGTAATTATAAAATAATTCAGAAGATTTTTATTTCCTCTAGATAAGTAAGAAATAATGAATACCAAATATGTGTCAAAATTAATTATTGTATAATTTTTTTTTACACTTGATATATAAAATGGCCTCGTCTTGAAATCAAGTTTGTCAGAAGGATTTATCTTCTCAATTTTGACCAGTTAAAGAAGTTTTCATTTGTCTCAAGACACTTTTTTTATATAATCATTTGAGAAGCAAGTTTATAATTAATTACAATAGTTAACAAGGGATAATAATTAGGAAACATTTAAACATAATATTTATACACCATTTACATTCCGTTACCAGTTCGGACATAAGCTGTCTTAAACGTCATGTCAAGAAAGAACTATCATGTCAAGAATTTTTTTATTCCAAAGGATGACTTATCTCCGCAGGTGTAACGAGACTTTGCACCGAAGTTTAATTAAAGTCACACCTTCCCCATCTATATATAATTCTTTGTTTTACGAGGATTACAAACAGCCATTGGCTACAAGTTGTTGACCTCATATGTAACACATAAATACACATACACATAAATACACATACACATAATTACATATAAATGCACATACACATAAATACACATACACATAAATACACATACACATAAATACATATAAATACCCATAAGTTCATACAAAAACACACATATATGACACAAAAACACATATATGACACAAAAACACACCTATATGACACAAAAACACACCTATATGACACAAAAACACACCTATATGACACAAAATCACACATATATGACACAAAATCACACATATATGACACAAAATCACACATATATGACACAAAAACACATATATGACACAAAAACACACCTATATGACACAAAAACACATAAATGACACAAAAACACACCTATATGACACAAAATCACACATATATTACACAAAAACACATCTATATGACACAAAATAACACATACATGTATATGACAAAATAACACATATATGACACAAAAACACACCTATATGACACAAAAACACACATATATGACAAAATGACACATATATGACACAAAATCATACCTATATGACACAAAATAACACATATATGACACAAAAACACCTATATGACACAAAATCACACATATATGACACAAAAACACACCTATATGACACAAAAACACACATATATGACACAAAAACACATACATGACACAAAATAACACATATATGACACAAAAACACACCTATATGGGACAAAATAACACTCTCAAACACACATGAATCCTCATAAAAACAAGAGGCCCAGAGGGCCTGTATCGCTCACCTGAATATGTTTAAAATAATTGGTATGAAGTAGGTGCTGTAAGTACATATGAAATTTCAGAAAGATCCATATAGTTCTTGAGATATAGTGAGAACAAACTTCAAACAGAGCCCCACCCCTAGGGGGGTCATACCCACCAATTATACAAAATTGAGTCTCCTTGACCCAAGGATGCTCCAAGGATTTTAAAGGTTTTACCTCTATTTCTCCTATTGGGCACTGCCCTTCTGCCCCTTGGGAGACCACACCCACTGCTTATACAAAATCGAGTCCCTTTTGCCTAAGGATGCTCCAGACTAAATTAGGATAATATCCCTTAATCCCTAGGGTAGAAGAAGGATTATAAAGGTTTTACCTATATTTCCCCTATTGGGCCCCGCCCTTCAAGTCCCAGGGGAGCCACACCAACCATTTATACAAAATTGGTTCTCCTTTACCCAAGCATGCTCCACACCACATATGGACCAAATCCTTTCATTCCAACAGACGAAGAATTTTAAAGAATAATTTGCTATGTTTCCCCTATTGGGCCACGCCTCTCAGGCCCCTGGGAGGCCCGACCCACTGCTTATACAAAATTGGTTCCCCTTCACCCAAGGATGCTTCAGAACAAATCCTTTTATTCCTACAGAAGAAGAAGGATTTTAAAGAATTTGCTATATTTCCCCTATTGGGCCCCGCCTCTCAGGCCCCTGGGTGGCCAGACCCACCATTTATACAAAATTGGTTCCCCTTTATCCATGGATGTTCCACATCAAATATGGACCAAATCCTTTTATTCCTACAGAAGAAGAAGGATTTTAAAGAATTTGCTATATTTCCCCTATTGGGCCCCGCCCATCAGCCCCCAGGGGCCAGACCCACCATTTATACAAGATTGGTTCCCCTTCCCCCAAGGATGCTTTTGACCAAATTTGGTCAAAATCTGTTCAGTCGTTCATGACAAGTAGCGTTTTAAAGGAAAAGTTGACGGGCGGACGGACGTAATTATAGTATATGTAAAAAGTATGTAATTATAGTATATGTAAAAAGTAAGTAATTATAGTATATGTAAAAAGCAATTTAATTTAATTGACTCTTTTTTTCAAAAGCTATCACAGAAATACCACAGAAAGTGTTATAAAACATTCAATAGTTACTATTCAATGTTATATTAAATTTCTGTGACGGTTCAGAATACCTCATAGAGCTATATATGGCACTGCATTTAGCACAGGTCTTGTTAGCTAGAACAGGTGTAGAGGTTTTCTATTTATAACTTTAATTCATTA